TTTGATGTTGTGTCATTGTTTTTATGTGCCATTGAGTCGGCTGTGACTCATAACAACCCTTAGTTCTGAACCCCGCTCTATCTTGAGCTAATTTCATTATCTCTGACACACCTATCTACATTACCCCAGTTACTGAGTCAATCCCATCTTATCCAGGGTCTTCCACTCTTGTGCTGTCCCCCCACACTTCCTAGCATGATCTCTTTCTCCTAGGACTGATCTCTCTTGGCAGCATGCCTAAAGTATGTGTGATATAGCTTCAAAATCCTTGACTACAAGGAACACCTTGATTTTACATATCCAGGACAAACCTGTTTGCTCTCTTAGCAATCCATGATATGTTCAATACTCTTATCTAGCACTGCAGCTCAAAGGCATAAATTCTTCTTCTATCATTCTTAATAATTGTCTAGCTCTCTGATGCATAGCAAGTAATTGTGAAGACTATGGCCTGGCTCAGGTGCTCCTTAGTTGTTAGACTAACATTGTTGCTCTTCAGTACTCTGGAGATGTCCTTGACAGTAGATTTTCCCTATACAATTCATTTTTTGATTTACTGATTGCTGGTGTCAATAGTCTTGATTGTGGAAGCAGTGAAGCTGTAATTATTAACAATTTCAATCTCTTCTCCATCTATCATAGTGCTACCAATTGACCCAGTGGTAAGAATCTCTGTTTTCTTGATGTTGATCTGTAATCCATGTTGAACGCTGCACTCCTTGAACTTTTTTTTTACAGCAAACACCTCCGGTCCTCCTCAGTTTCAGCAAACAAGGTTGTATGATCAGTATAATAAAGATTGTAGATGAATCTTCCTCATATCCTGATGCCATGTATTTTAATGTGTTATAGATATATAACATATATCATGTTAACCAATTCCCAGGAAGTCAGACATGTCCCTCGTGCTCCTGCACCTTTTTCTACTTATCCCAATACCAATCTTACTGCTCTACTGGATCCGGAATCCCATACAATATATCACAGACCACACAGAACCATATTGGAGATGTCAAAAGGTTATAATCCAGGTTATTAGCATAATAAAGTCAGGACAGTTTTCAAGACACCTCAGTCTTAAGCCTCATGGCTATAAGCCAGTATTATAAAGTTCTCAGTCCCACCAATTATGGTTCTTTCTCTGTCCCAGTTGTCTAATAAACTTGGGCATTATAAGAGCATTTGCTCTTAGCTCTGGTTCTGTCTGTCAGGGGTAGCAGTCCAAAGGTGTGGTGTTAGCCCAAAAGTTAGCTTTTTTTACCTCCCTCTGGTCTCTAGCTACCTAAATTGCAGACACATGATGTTGCAAATCTTGCAAATCATCAATAGCTGTGAGACTAGGACAAGAAAAAGAGTGCTTCCCACAGTGGGCAGCAAGACTTGTAATGAGCAACACCTTTGGTGACAAGACTTCAGATAGACTGGAGCAAGACCCTGGTGAGAGTGAGATCCTGATGATGGTGGTGGAGACTATGGAATTGCTGTGGAGAAACTGTAGAAAGGTGTGACCTGAGGCTTTTTGCATTTGTACTGGCTGCAGTTAAAGGTTTTTGTTTTGGTTTTTTGTTGGGTTGTTTTTTTTTTTTTCTGTTCCTGACAGATGCTTAAAGGAGAAGCTGACTTAGGCAAATTTTGCTGAATGATTTGGATTTGACTACTTAACAGAAACAAAATCCTGGACTAATTGAGGAATTGTGCCATGGAACTTGGGTTAAAGTTTGGACTTGTGTTGGATGATATTCCTTTCCTCCCCCACTCTCCAACTTGCTTCTAGTCATGTGCCATCAAGTCATCTACGAGTCATAGTGACCCTATGTACAATAGCTCTGAAGTCTGACCTGTCCTGATCCAGTCTCACTGACTCCAGCACACCTACCCCATTGCTCCAGTTATTGTATCAATCTTTCTAATTTTTATCTTTCTCTCCTGCACTGTCCCTCCATCCTTCCAAGCATGATGCCCTGCTCAAGGACAGATCGCTCCTGGCCATGTCCCCGAATTATGCGACAGGGAGTTTCAAAATCCTAGCTTCCAAGGAGAAACTCAGTTTCACCGTCTCCAAGACCTATTCATTTTCTTGGCAATCTGTGGTATGTTCAACACTCTTCTCTAGCACCACAACTTAAAGGCATCTTTAGTCGTTACTTCCCTCTAAACCCATTCTCAGTACCACAATGGTGAGTCTGTGAGTCAACAACAAATAAACGAACCTCTTGCTGCTGGTGTGGCTACAGAGGGACCATGGGGCTATGGACTCTTTATCTGCTTTCTGCTCTGGTGTGGTGAAGGGCTGTGCTATTTTACTCCCTCTGGCCCTTTCTCATTCATGGTTCTGTGTCCTTTTCCTATTTTCTGTTTATTAAACACAGGTTCAGCTCCACCTCATGTTGAGTCTCTGGTCTTCTGCTTTGGTAGCTATTGCTACTGTAGGTGCTCTTTGGGCCCAAATGACACACTCTGCAGGTTGACTTCTCTTTTGCTGGTGGCAAGTTTCTACCATCCTGCTGTGTGATCCACCCAATTTTGGCAAGATTAGCCAATCCTCTTTTGTGCTGATGAGACTAGTCAATCCCCTGTGGATAGGCTAACACATCCTATTCACAATTTCAGGCCATCCGCATGGCAAGTTAATGGACAGTGAAAACATTTTTTCATAATAAACCCTTAACACCGTATCTATAACACTCTTTTCTACTCTGCATACAAATGACGTGAGCCAAAAATACCTTAATAGCAACTTGATTTGCTCCTTTTCAATATAGTATTTATTGTCTCAAAGGCTGCAGGACAATTTTTTAAAAAAATCTTTGAAATTGGTATATTGATAATTAGATCAAATGATGATGGTGGTTTTGAGTTACAGTCTCAGTGTAAGATTAAAAATTAGTTTCCCAATTAAAAGCAACAGCAACAACAACAAATTATTAGAAAAGACTAGTAACGATATCGTTACTAACAATGATAGCCTCTTGGACTTTCGTCTTTCCTATTTCCTGCTTTTGTCTTGTTATAGGCAATTCTTATGCAAGAAGCTCAACGTAATTAAATGTGCAGGATGAAAAGATGGCACAGGCACTGCTGGTACCCCCAGGACCTGAAAGCTTCCGCCTTTTTACTAGAGAATCTCTTGCTGCTATCGAGAAACGTGCTGCAGAAGAGAAAGCCAAGAAGCCCAAAAAGGAGCAAGAAGACGATGAGAACAAACCAAAGCCAAATAGTGACTTGGAAGCTGGAAAAAACCTTCCATTTATTTATGGAGACATTCCTCCAGAGATGGTGTCAGAGCCCCTGGAGGATCTGGACCCGTACTATATCAATAAGAAAGTGAGTATGACTTTATACACTTTATAGCTCTTTTTAAAAAGTGAGCACTTTAATAACATTTTCTGGGTTTTATATACATAAACTGTATATATTTTGCATACAATAATACATATGTAAAAAGAATTGATGTGTATGGTTTAGGAGAAGAGTACTGAATATCCCATAGACTTCCAAGAGAACAAACAGCTATGTCCTGGAGTAGGTGCAGCCATAGTACTCCATGAAGGCAAAGATAATACAGCTTCGTCCATATACTTTGGGCATGTTGCTAGGAAAGGCTATGCCTTGGAAAGGGACATCTTGCTTGGAAAAGTGGAGTTTTGGTGAAGAGAGGATGATCTTCAACCAGGTGGCTTGAGACAGTGACTGTAGCAATGGGCTCGAGTGTGAGAGATTGTGAGGATGACACAAAATAGGACAGGTTTCAGATCTGTTGTTTATAGGGTCATTGAGATGTACATGACTCAATAGCACCTAAGAACAACAACAGCAACAACAATAACAAAAACTTACACATACATATACATATACATATACATATACATATACATATACATATACATATACATATACATATATTACACCATGTTTTTCTCTCATTGAAGATTTCATAATAGTCTTTATTCCTACTTACTTTTAAGAACAGTTAAATAAGAATCATTTAAAAGAAACCTATAGTCAAAAGATGCCTATATTGAAAAGGGCATGAATAGACAAACAATTTCTGTTTTCACAGATATTGATGTGGTGATGTGAAAACAGACACCAACAAAGCAAAATATCTGCTACTGCTAAAAAAATTTAAGCACATGGTAAACAACAGAATAACAGGCATCCAAAAAAGAGTCCTCAGCAAGTGTTCTACTTTTCTTTTTGAGCTCTTGTTTTGGCTTAAAGTTTTTCAACAGTGGATTTGTGTTTTAGGAGAGAATAAATTCCTCTTTAGTATTCTTCTGTAAGGAGCTCTGGTGGTATATTGCATAGTACGTTAACCTCTAACCTATCAGAGTTCTTAACTTTAAATTTAGTAATAGTGAAAGAAAATGACAACCAATTAGACATGGAACTAATCCTCTTGTTTTAATTAGTGCTTCTTAAACATGTATACCACGGACTGTCAGCAGGACAAACGGGTCCTTCCTAAAGAGGGTAAAGCCATCCTGCTCCTTAGAGGCAAAGTTTCTGAGGCTTCATCTGACATACTTTGGGCATGTTCTAAGGAGGGACCAGTCCTTGGAGAGGGATGCCATGCTTGAAATGTTGGAGGGATGAAGAAAGAGAAGGAGAGACCCTCAATGAGATGCCTTGATACAGTGACTGGGGTAATGAGGATAGATGTGTTGGAGACCGTAAAATTGGCTAAGGATAGAGCAGGTTACAAGGCCATTGTATATCGGGTTGCTATGAGTCACAAGTCACTCACTAGCACATGGTAACAACAACAACATATACACATTATCTGAATATTTTGTTAAACTGCAGATTCTGATTCTCCAGGTCTGATAAGAAGACTGATAGCCTGCATTCCTAACTAGCACCCAGGAAATTCTAGTGGTAAAAGCTACACTGCCAACCCAAGACCTGCAGTTTGAATCCACTAGTTGCTCCATGGGAGAAAGATGGACAGTCTTCTGTGCAATTTCCTGCCTCTGGAAATCCGCTGGAGGGTCAGTTCTGAGTTGGTCCTGACTCAGTATTACATAACAACTCAAAAGATGGGACTAGTACTGGACCATATTTTTAGTAGCAAAGCTCTAAAATAACTTATTTAAAGGCACAAAACAAAATTAAGCAGTCAGATTCTTTCTTTTTTCCTCTCTCTTTTTGATTTTTACTTTGCATCATGGGAAAAACCCTTAAAACATCAAAATGGAAACATTTTGCCAATTGAGTTGATTCCACTTATGGAGACTTCATGCACAGAACTGACCTTGGCTATAAACTTTGTGGAAGCAGGTTGAGAGCCTTTCCCCCACTAACTGTGTGGACATAAACCATCAACTTTTAGCTTAATAGTCAAGTGGAAACCACTTATATTACTCAAGGGCCTTATTTCATAAAGGGTGGGATTTAACATATGCATATAATTAGAAAAGTAGAGATTCTGGTAGTTTAATGTATATTTGATAAAGAAAACTTTGAAGTTTCTATTCTTGATAAAGGATATAAATAAAGTTTGTATTTCTTGATAAAGAAAACTTTGAAGTATATATTCCTTAACAACCACAATAATAATCGGGAGACAGCCCTTAAGACACTGGGACTATTTTTCTCTGAGAAATACTGAGTCAAAACTAGTATTTGCGAAGACACCTTCTAAAGTAGGATCATAGTGTACTGTGACATGATGGAAAATGTTTTGGATTACTGTGGGCTCAAGAGAGGAAGTGTCCTTTAGAAAGGGAATTTCTCAATTTGGAAGCATAAAAAGAGAAAAAAAGGATAAAATATTGGTTTTTTTGAGAGGGAAGACTATAAACAGACCTTTAGAATAAGACAAAGTACTTTTTTCTCCCGAAGTCAAGACAGCTCTTTAGGTAAGACTCAAAGTGTTTCCCTTCCTTGTTCCTGAGGAAGACTACCTGAGGCTTCCTAACTAAACATTCAGCATTATTGCATCAAGGTGACCAACTTATCCAGACTTTATGCTCAGCAAGAACTTTGGGAGTGTAAAATGCCTATCTATACAAATCTGCTCAAAAGGAGAGATTCTGTTGGTTGTGTTGATGTAATTACTTCAATCCATATGCTAATATCATGCCTGATTGTAACTGAGAAACTTGACATCCTGATTTTATATACTAGACTTTTCAAACCTCTTCTGTTGCAGTTGAAGTCAGTTTTTATTTCCTTTGTGAGGGGAGCCAGACTTGGATTATGATCTCTTTTATTAGTGATCATGTCTCTTCTCCAGAAACATCTAACTAGCCTCCTATTAGCTGCACTACTTTCCCTTACAAACTGTCTGTAATGATGACAGTTGAAGACTGTTGAGGAAAGAGGTGGTTTTTTGATACATGAGATAGAAGGACTTAATGTTATAGAAAATATGCTAGTATTTTAAAGCGATCTGACCTTTATGTTAATGATATAGAATAATTCAAATTAACACTTACTTTTAAAACTGTAAGGACTTATACAAGTCCCTGGATGGTTCACACAATTAAATGCGCGACAATTAGGCAAAAAGTTGGAGGTTCGAGCTCACCCAGGTCCTCGTGTCTTGTGTCTGAAACATTGAGGCCTTGCTCCTAGGGGTACAGACCTACTGTAGCATATGTTGTTGTTGTTGTTATGTGCCGCCGAGTCCCTTACGACTCATAGCAACCCTATGTAAAACAGCCCTAAACTCTGCTCTGTCCTGTGCCAATCGCACTGTGTCTGACACTGCCATCCCAATTATCCCAGGCACTGAATCAATCCGCCTCATAGAGGGCCTTCCCCTCCTGCGCTGTCCCTCCACCCTACCAACCATGATGTCCCTCTCCAAAGACCAGTCTCTCCTCACAACATGTCCAAAGTATGTTAGACGGAGCCTCAGAATCCTTGCCTCCAAGGAGCCACCCTGTTTAACCCTTTCCAGGATGAATCTGTTTGTTTTCCTAGCAGTCCATGGTATTCTCAATACTCTTCTCCAGCACCACAGCTCAAAGGCATCAATTCTCCTTCTATCCTCTTTGGTCATTGTCCAACTCTCTGATGCATAACAAGTGATTGTGAACACCACGGCCTATATCGTGGTTGTAAAACCCTATGTACAACCTAGCATATATGGGGTCAAATCAACTCATAGCAAACAAAATCAACAATTTCAAGGCAGGGTTGCTGCCATTGATAAATGCGACCTTTTACAGAACTTCAGTCTTAATCTCAGCACTGTCGAGTTCATGGTGATGCTACAGGACACATTAAAATGACCCCACAGCATTTCCAAAGCTGTAGGTCTTTACAGAAGCACACTGCCTCGTCTTCCAGGAATTGCTAGTGAGTTTCAGCCAGCAAATCGGTGCTTAACCCCCTGATCTACCAGGGTGCCAAGTAGTTTATCGAATTAATTTAATGAAATACATAACATGGAACGTTGGTGGCCTAGTGGCAAGAAGTAATCTCGAAGGCCTGTGGTTCAAGGCCACCAGGTACTCCTCAGGAGAAGGATGGGCAATCTCCTCGCATGCAATTAACTACATCTGAAACCCAGCTATGGATGGGTTCCGACTTTACCACACAGACAGAACAATAACAACAACTAAATAGCACAAGGATGCACTTTCATTGGCATTTATGCTTATCAGAGAAATAGCTTACAAATGCTATTGTTATGTGCTATAGAGATGGAATCAATTCACAGCCTTCAGCTGGCTTTTGGAAGTTTGTAAATTGCAAGGGAAGGGACTATCCATATTTCTCCTGCAGAGCAGCTGGTAGATTTGAACCCTTGCCTTTGAGTTAGCTGAAGAGTTCCATACCTATTCGGCCATCAGAGCATCCTACTTTAAAATTGTTATTGCTGTTGTTGTATGCTATGGAGTCAGAATCAACTCTTGGCTGACATTCCAGTGGGATTTCAGAAGCAGTAATCTCACAGGAGGGGAGGAGATTGTCCATCCTTCTATCAGCATATGGATTCAAGCCAGGTACCTTAGGGTTTGCAGCCCATATTCTTACCACTATGCCACTGACAATAATAGTAATAGCAAGAATTATTTTGTATTCGTAAACTATGGAGCACACTTCAAGTGTTTTAATTGATGTAATTTCATATTCAAATAACCAGTGAGGAAGGAACTGCTATTAGCTTCATCTTATAGATGGAGCAATGAAGCCAAAATTGTTAAGTCTCTTATTCAAAGTCCTGCTCCAGTAAGTGGTGGATACAAGATTTTAATCCAGTCTGTGTACAGAATCAAGCCTTTTTAGCTCCTAAAAAATTATATAATTGTTATTAAGATAATAAAAGGTAATGTTTTAAAATTCATTTCATTGTTTAAATTCCCCAGTTA